CTGCTTCTGCCTCCCGAGTGCTGGGATTAAAGGCGTGTGCCACCACCACACGGCCAGGAAAGGACATTTTAATGTCCCTCTCAGTGAAGTATTCAAAATCCACTCAAGGTAGTTGCTCTGTAACAGTTAATTACAGGTTAGAATCTGGAACCACAGAAGGGAACATTTTAAACTGTTTACACTAACATCTCTTGGCTAACAATTATTTTAAAGTAAATTTAAAATTTCTTGGTAGGATATGGTGGTACTTGCCTATAACCTCTGTAGACAATAAGCTGAGACATGAGTTCTAAGCCAGCATGGACTACATAGAAAGAGCCTGTTAAAGACAAACAAACAGAACAAGCCCTGCATTCGTTTAGGATTTTGTTTGTTAATGGTGATATATTGCCATGCTTTTGTTTTTGCTTTGTATTTTGCAAAGGCCCCTCCCTAGGCTGGCCTGAACCCTATATACAGTTCAGGGTAGGATCAAATCTTTTATTCTCTTGACTCAGCTCATAGTGCTATGATCAGTTTTAACTTTGAATAGTCAACAGTCAACAATCAAATCTTTTATTCTCTTGACTCAGCTCATAGTGCTATGATCAGTTTTAACTTTGAATAGTCAACAGTCAACTGGTCTTGGTCACCTGGAAAACACTGGCTCACTGAATTATACAGACACTCTAACTTTTGACCCATCTCAATTCTAAAGTATCAAATAATTATTCTCGTTCATTTTACCAATAGTCTCATCAAAGGAATACTGAGAAACTGTAGGGTGCATTGTGATAAATACTTGTTTTCCAAATTTTGCTTTAACCTTGAATTGTATCATTAGCAACATATACTATCTGATGTTTTCTGCACAGAACAATCCTGAGTCTGTTCAGTCCTGAGAACATGCCCTGCCAAATTCCACATGTGAATAAACACCATTGCTGTCTATCAGACACAAATGAAGCTCCATTAAATACAGGCTGTGAAAGAATAGCCTGATTGTTTTCTCAGAGCAATCCCCACTGTACTTGCAGACGGGTAGTATGCTCATGATCATTCCATCACACAAAATGCTAAAGCACTGTGCATGTAGCCAAGATTTTCCAGCAGTGTTAATAGCATTGACTACTTCATTGAAGGTGACTCACATGTAGGTTAAATTTGTTCATTTACTCACGGCAAATTCATGATGGTGGAGAGTAAGGTGAGTACCATTGAGGCTTAGGGCTCAGGCACCAGCAGCTTTACCACACTGAATCGGCATATGTACACATATAAAAAGGGGACCGTTATCTAGTGCTGTTATAAGTTTTCCCTTTAGGTCATAGAGGCACAACTAGCCTCAGATATACAGAGGGAATTAAGGTGAGAACATACAGTGACCTAGGCCATTCACTTGAGTACTGACCTAGCATTTTTTAATTTGGTTCCAGATGTTCAATCTTGCCCATTTATAGAAATTCCAAGGAAGCACTGAGAATATCAAAGGAGCAGGAATGGGGAACTAACTCTTACAGATTTTTCTAGGTATTGGTGAGGCCTCAACCTGCAATTTGTGATATCAGGAGTAGAATCTAACTAGTCAGCTAGTGACTAAATTGTGCAGTGGTTCACCTGCTAGAGAAACAATAAAGGGGCAGTGACGTTCCCATCTGCAATCTTAGCCTTGTTATAGCTACTCACTTGATCACATTTGCAAGATGCCTCAGTCTTTACTGCCCAGAACAGACATCCCCCTGCTATTTAATTCACATGCAGGCAGTAAAGGTATCATTGGTATTTCTGGATTGATATGACACCACAATGTCCAGCTATTAGACTAAGTCTGCGTGCAGGCCTGAAGAGACTCAGTTGTAGAACCCATCTGTTCTTGGAGCAGGAGGCAGTTGCACAATAATTTAACAGTTTATTTTGGGTTGGTTTCTATAAGATTGTTTCCTACTCCCCCGCCCCCCAACTATAGAATTAGTTGTAAGTGTCGGCCAAGCTTCTTGGTCATCCTGATCTAAAAGGTCTTTTATAGACAATGCTGGGTAGCCCTGATAAGGACTTGTTGTGGGGGAGAGATGGAAGGACAAATACGAATGGAGTCCAATGATATTCATGTATGAAAATGTTAATAGAACTCAAACTTCAGTGTGGTTTTAATTCATCTGTTTAGAGGGTTTTTTTTTTTTTCCCCTGACACAAGATCTCCCTCAGGCTGACCTGAAACTCACTATGCAACCCTGGCTGCCCTACCTACCAACTATCTGGCCCCAGCTTTGTAAAAGCTGGGGTTACAGGCATGTACCACCATCACTGGTTTGAACAAAGGTCTTTTACTATCCTAAACCATCATTTCTGAGGAGCTAAATGACTACAGTCTATAGTCTGTGTCACACTCGGTATTTTAATGCAACATAATTATCCCATGTTCCTGAAAGCAATAAAGCATTTACATATATATTCGACAACTTCTATGAAAAATGAACAAATTTTTTACTCACCTTCCAAGCATGGTAAGTACCAGAGGGATCTGTCTGATACAGTCTTGGGATACCATCATCATCAAAGCCTACAATTAAGGCCGATATACCAAAAGGTCTTCGTCCATTGCTCTGTGTATACTTCTAGAAAATAAAATTTAATTTTACTATAACACTGTCTTAGTTTCTATTCTTTTACTGTGAAGAGACACCATGACCAAGACAACTCTTAAAAATGAAAGCATTTAATTGGAAGTTTGCTTACAGTTTCAGAGGCTTAGTCCATTATCATCAAGGCAGGGAGCACGACAGCAGACAGGAGTGATACTGAGAGAAGTAGCTAAGAGCTACATCCTGATCCTGTGCCTGGCACCTGTGACACAACTACTCCAGCAAGGCCACACCTCCTAATCATTATAATTCTGTTAGTCACTCCCTGGTGACTAAGCATTTATGTCTATGAGTCTGTGGGAGCCATGCTTATTCAAATCACCACAGACACATACCACTTACCAAATAAAATTCCAGTAAATAAAGCATCAACATTTACTCTTTGATTCTTTTTTTTTACAAAATGTTTTCAGTGTTTTTAATTATGTATATGTGTATGTCTTTATGTGGATATGTACATGTTGCATGCAGGGACCCTCAGAGGCCAGAGTGGATAGGATTCCCTGGAGCTGGAGTTACAGGTAGTCATTAGCTTCTAGGCACCAAATTCCAGTCCTCTGCTAAGTGCTCTTAATCACTGAGCCATCTTTCCAGCCCCTACTTTTCTGATTTTATTGTATATATTTTTTAGTGTTTCTTTGACTACTGTTAATTCATAATGACATTTTAAAGAAATTAATGTATACAATCTATAAAATATAATCACAAATTTGCTTATATATCTTATTTTTCTTAAAAGCTCCCTACTCAACTTTTAGTATTTTCCATTTTTAAATTAAAATTGAAGGTTAACATACACACTAATGTGCTTCACTAAGTCACTTCATATATATCTGCCATCAACTTTGGTCTAAGTCACCCCTTCCCCCACAAGCAGTCCCCTCTTCCCTGCCATCCTTTTCCCGGGTGCCTTCCTTCCCTTTTCTACTTTCATATTAAAACCATTTCAGTCTTTGGCCCACCCAGCATGGTCTTAAAACATGTTCTGTCTGCTCTGTATAAGAATGGTCCTCACGGGATCATCATTTGACAATGATTAAGAGGTGTGGCCTTATTGGAGTAGTTGTGGCCTTGTTGGAGAAAGTGTGACACTGGAGTATAATAGGTTTGAAACTTGAGGTTTCAAACATCCATGCCAGACCCAGTTCTCTCTCTCCTTGCTTCCTGCAGATCAGGAGGTAGAACTCTTAGCTACTTCTCCAGCACCAAGTCTGCATGTGTGGTGTCAGACTCTTCACATAACAACAATGGACTAAGCCTCTGAAATTGTAAGCCAACCCCAATTAAATGCTTTCTTAAGTAAGAGTTGCCATGGTCATGGTGTCTCTTTCAGCAATAGAACCATGACTAAGACAGTATACAATCTTTCTGACTCAGCAGAGGGCTGGGTCTTTGCTTTGCTGTCAGGGAAGTGGAGTTAATGAGCTGTGCTTTGGAAGCACGCCCTGGTTTGCCTTGAGGGACACTGCAGTTACTGTTGGGGCTACTCCTACTTGATAATATTGCTATCAAATATGCTTTGTGCTCTGTATGCCGGGTCATTTTCTTCAGTCTCAAAAAAAGGAATCTTTTGTTTCTCTTGAAAACAAGCACACATTTCCCCCACAGAAAATGCAACACTGAAACCAGTTATATTTCTTATTACTCTCATGACAGGGAACTTCCTGGATTTGTGCTCCAAAGAGTGCCATTCTCAATGAGACCGGTCCTATGAAGAGACAGCCCTGACAGAAAGCTAAGGACTGAATATGTAGGTAACCTTACTTAACTCTAGCTGGATGTAGCTCTGTATAATTCTGTGGGTTGAAACAGCTTCTTAGTGGCTTTCTTTCAGGCTTATCTATTTATGGATCTATTTTCTCATTTTTAAGTTTATTATATTTCATGTTTTACAAGCAAAGTTTGATTTTTGAATGCATATGACTGAGCTATGAACATAAATGTTCTCTTTTAAAATCAGGGTTATGTTGAATTCCTCTGCACTGTCTAATGTTTCTGTTCCAACTGAGTGAGGTATGATATAGATGCCTTTACATATTATCTTAGGAGAAAGACCTTTAACCTTACTTGTTCAATCTTCATTTTAGTGAAAAAGTGATATAAACAAAGGTGAACATGTGTTATCTCTGTCCCAGAGGCCCAGTCCTTCCCAGTGGCAATCTTATTGTCACAGACTTACAACTGTGTTTCCATAGTCTATTCAAAGCCTTGATTTCTCCAGAAGAGGCCTTAAAAACCACAGTTAAGAACCTTGTATGTATGCTGTGTCTTACTTTTTGATAGATTCTTTTGTAATAACAGAAAATTGAAACAAAATGCAAAAGTAGAAAAACAAAAATTTTGTAATTTCTTCTAAAATGAACAAAACTTTTAAAAAAATCAAAACAGGGTGACTTGATATACGTTATTTATCTCAAAAACTTAGTATTTGGACTTACAAAGAATCTATGAAAAAAATCTCCATGTAGAATCAAGGTATCTGCTCTACCAGAGTAGGTAGAGGTGCAAGCCAGTGAGCAGGTGCATTCTAACACTCATTCATATGTAAGGAGAGGCAAAGAAATGCAAAGGAATCTTCTCTTAAAGGCAGTAAGATATAGGAAAGCCAGGATTCAATCTTAACACTACAGCTTTTACAATTTGCCCTTAAGAACTGTTTGTTAACAGAAAGTATGGGTCAAGAAAATACGGTATGCATGCATACAGAATGTCCTAACCATGAAGAACCAAATTATGTCTTTTGTAGGATATTGAATGGAGCTGGAAACCATCATATTAAGTGAATTATGCCAGTCTTAAAGAGACAAGATGATACATTTTCTCTTATTTTTGGTTCATGTTTTATATAGACACAGAATCATGTATGTACATGACATGAAAGTAGAAGAGAAACTACATAGAAGAAGAGGGAACTACAGGGGTGTGGGGGGGGGAAGACGGGATAAAGATGGAGAAATTTACTCAATATACAATATATATCTACATGAATGTCTTTAAATTCAGAAAGAGGTTTGAAAAGGGAATATAGGCCTGGTGAGATGATTCAGTGGGTAAAGTTGTTTGCTACCAAGTCTGACCTGAGTTTTGTCACCAGGACCTACCTGAAGGTTTTTCTCTATGTATGTATTGTGACACATGCCCCTGCCCCCAGAATAAGTGTAATTAAAAAATATGTTTTAAAGAGAAGATAAACTGACACAAATTTTTACAGGGACCATCCTGCTCAAGGTTATGTAGCAAAAAAAAAAAAAAAAAGAAGAAGGATAATTTGCACAAGTAGAAATAAAGAGTGAACCAACATGTGGAAAATTCAGTCTCACTAACTGTGAAACACAAATTTTCCCAGATAGCTGGTTGCACAAAGAAACTAGCTCCATCCTTCTAGAAAGCATTTGGTACATATAATAAGAGCCTTAAAATCAATTATAATCTCCAATCTAGGAGCCCCCTACTAAAACTTAACAGTATAATTAAACAAAACAAAAACAAAATAAGCCAGGACCAGAATAATGTTAGGGTAGCAGAGAGGAGAATAAAAAAGAAACTGAAGTGATGTCCATTATCAAATGACCATCAGAGATGTTAACAGTTTCTAACACTATAGCTGCAAGAGAATATCCAGGAAGGAGAGTCTGCCACCACACACAGTATGCAAACAGCAAGTGAAACCTCAGCCCTATATGCATACTAACTCCCAGCTCCCAATGATACAGCCATGCATGGCTTCAGAAGAGAGCATAGCTAAACCTGTTTGCAGGTAAAATAATGGATATTTTCTTTGTAAAACTTTCAGGGAATTACACATATATGGTTCTTTTGAGACAGGGTTTCCCTGTGTAGCTTTGTAGACCGCCTGCCTCTGCCTCCTGAGTGCTGGGATTAAAGGCATACGCCATCAACACCAAGTAAAGAATGATATTTTATTGTGTTTGCACAAGTATAAAAATTTCCCTTGAAAAATTTCACACTATCTTTAAAAAATTATTCCAAGAATTGAAACTGATATTGATTTCTGGTGATTGATGCAACCCACTTTACCCCAATAGGTGAATGAATAATTCTGAGAATGAATAGGAATTTAACGCACTCAGTAGACTAAGCGCTTAGAGCTATTGCAGTATTTCTATGACAGGACCCATGACTGGAAAGCAGAAAGCCAAAGGAAGAATTGTGTTAAGAATAAGTGCCCACCTGCTTTAGAGTTGCTATGAAGCGAGTTATGTACTCCACAGTGACGGGGTCCTCCACTGTAAGCTTATGGCTCTGGCACTCCACCCGGGCTCTGTTTATTACTACCCTAGCATCAGCTGTCAAACCTGTAAAAACAGTCAAAATATATAGTTTTGTCAAAAAGTTTGAGTTACCAATTCTTGCTTACAGCATCCTTTCCCTTCAGTAACACCTTCATCAAAGAACTAGAAAATGTCATGTGCCTTAATTGTGATTTATTTCCTTTAAAGATTGAATTCCACACATCCCTGATTCATTTGTGAAGGAAATAGTAAATGGTTTAGTTTAAACATTATTAGTAAATTGGATTTTTTTCTTATGAGAGCAAGGATGGTAGTCCATCCTGAAGTACTGTATTCAAATTACACTTGATAAAACTGTGATGTATCACTCCTCAAGTTTTTGTCAAAATGAAAACTCTGAAAATCAAGGCTGTTAAGACAGACAGACTCTGACAGAGCTTCTGAAATAGCCAAAACCTCATCCAAACCATTCTCAGTCTGTCGATAAGGAGACAGTATGTGTTCTAGCTGAAATTGGAGACTGACTGCAACATGTAGCTGACAGGTTAGTCTGATTGTATAAATTAAGGACAACATTGGTATTTGACTGTTCTACAGCCATTTTGTTTCTTTCACCACTTTCTTTTTAAAACAGATTTATTTTAACTTGAAGTGTGTGTGTGTGTGTGTGTGTGTGTGTGTGTGTGTGTGTGTGTGTCTGTGTGTCTGTGTGTGTGTGTCTGTGTCTGTGTCTGTGTCTGTGTGTGTGCCAGAACCAAAAGAGGAAGAAAAGTACACCTCCTCTGGAGGTGGATCTAAAAGCAGTGTGAGCTGACTGGCATGGTTGCTGGGGGACAAACTCAAGTCTCTGCAAAAGTATTACACACTTTTGTAATTGCTGAGCCATCTCTGCAGAGCCTTTCACTTCTCTTTTAGTACTAATTAAAATGTACCCCGGATTCCCTCACAATGTGTTGGAATCAGGCAGTTCTCACAGAGCCACTGTTCTTTCTCATCACATACATTTCCCTTCACCATCTCGCCAAACCCTGTTTCTACATACACCTCAATCTTCACCCCTTGAAAAAGGAGGACAGGCAGGAAATGGAACTGTCTGACCATGCCCTAGTTTAAAATCACCTGACACAGGTGGGGTGTGAATCGATTAAAGGAAGAGAGAGCAATTCTCTGTACACTAGTTATCTAAGAGAAAGGACTAGCTGGAGAAGGCCAGGTCTACCCATGGGTTAATGTTTTATGCAACTAAAATAGTTCAGTAAGCTACTTGATCATATGTCCTCTTTACAGTGTGAATATGACCCACAGCTAGAGAAACGCTAACGTTAAAAATATTTAAGAGTGGGGCTGGGGAGATGGCTCCACAGGTGAATGAATGTTTGCCACACAGACACAGCAACATCAATTTTGATTTTGATATTGGCAGGCTACATGTGTCAAGGCCATAACCAAGTCCTTCTGCTAGATTTAACACTTGTGAAAACAGAGTGCTTTTTCCATTTCACCAGGATTGTGTCACCTGGCTTGTGATTGTGGCTTCATCTTCCCCGAGCTCCAGCAGGTGGGCTGGACAGCAGACTGTTTCCACTCCCCTGAGCATTTTGCTGCTCTTTGCACTCTAGCATCTCTGTAAGATTCCTGGTGTTTTTCCTTTCCCTTTTCTGAACGATGTCCTTTATTCTCACTCATGGGATCACACAAAGAAACTCTCTCTCTCTCTCTCTCTCTCTCTCTCTCTCTCTCTCTGAGACAGGGCTTCTTTGTATAGTCCTGCCTGACCAGGAACTGGCTCTGTATACCAGGCTGGCCTCCAACTCACAGAGATCCTCCTGTCTCTGCCTTCCAGGTGCTGGATTAAAGGCGTGTGCCACCGAGCCTGGCTGAGAGACCTGTTTGCTAATCTGCCATCTCATTCCAGATACCATTTCAACTCAGTATAGCTAGCAATTCTTTGCAGAACATATAGGGTTTTCTAGATATGAAATTATATCTCCTGTAATAAGAGATGATTTTCATTTCTTTCTGAACAGTTAGACTGTTTTATTTCTTATTCTTGACTAATTACTCCAGATAGAACATACATTACTATATTGAATGCCAATAATAAAGCAGATACCCTTGCCTGTTCTTATTCTGGAGGTGAAGTTTCAATTGTTCACAAATGAATACATCAGCTGAATTTTTCACATGTGGTAGTTTGAAAAAAAATGGCCCTTAAAGGGAGTGGCACTTTTATTAGGAGGTGTGGCTTTTTCTGGAGTGGGTGTGGTCTTGGAGGAAGTATGTCACTGTGGAGGTAGGCTTTGAGGTCTCATACATGCTCAAGGTACCTCCCAGTGTCTCAGTTCACTTCCTGTTGCCTTTTGATCAAGATGCAAAAATTCTCCAGCACCATGTCTGCCTGCACACCACCATGCTCTCTGCCACGAGGAAAATGAACTAAACCTCTGAACTGCAAGACACCACCTCGATTAAATGTTTCCCTTTGTAAGAGTTGCCATGGTCATGGTGTCTCTTCACAGCAATAGAAACCCTAACTAGAACATCACATATAACTTAATTGTACTGAGGTGCATTTCTAATTTGTCCTGTTCTTTTTAACCAAGAAAGAGTACTGAATGACACCCAATACGTTCTTTCTGTATCAGTTGATATAATCAGGTAGTTCTGGTAACATGGAAACAGTCATCTTCAGATAGCTGTTGACCTGTGACTTACTGAATAACTTGGCCATTTGTGTGCTTCAAGGAACTTTGTTGGCACAAAATGGTACAGATACTCTCTTATAGCCTTTGTATTTCTGTGCAAGTGGAAGCAATGACCCATTTTATTTTCTCATTTTAATTTAGAAATAGTTTTATTTAGTCAATATACCTAGTTTTGTTCATCTTTTTTGTTTTAATTTTCTATCATCTTTCTGTTCTGTTTATCTCAGGTGTGATGATAGCTTTGGGTTTACTCTGGTCTGAATTTTCAAGTATAGAATAGCTGTTCATAAAAAACCTCCTAAGTGTTTACTTCATTTTCCTCTTAGCACTGTTTATAAATACATCCCACAAGTTTTGATGCTTTCAATGCTCATTTATATTTCTCTCAAGATGTTTACTAATTGTATTTATGTTCGCTGTTTATTTGTTTTATCCATGTTACTTTTGAACTACATTGTTTAATTGATATGTATTTGTGCATTTTAAGTTTGCCTTCAGCTATTGATTTCTAGTTTCAATCCTTTTTAAGCAGAAAAGATACTAAATATGATTTCAATCTGTCAGATTTATCAAGAATTGTTTTATGACAATTAAAGGCAAATAGGGTAAAAGTTATTTGCTGAATGAGTGTTTTAATTGTCAATATAAAATTCCTGTTTAAAAGAAAACAATTAAAAACCAAATCAAAATAAAAAAGAGTTGATGAGATATGTTGCTGAGAGTTGAGAATGCTTTGGGTGAGTGCATAGAGAGAAAATGGGGGTCCTGGGTGAATGTGTATTGAGTGGCTATGTCAAGGATAACTACCTCAGACCCATGGAAACTGGCAAAGGCTTCCTCCAAAGTCAGGCTCAGAGTGATGGAAAAGTCTTCCTCTGGTCCAAATATAGATGCTGGCGGTATGGGCAGGTAGGAGTGTTTAGGAACAATTGGTCAGTGTGTGCAAAGACTAGCAAATGCAGCTTCTTCCAGATGTTTACAGCTTGAGACTGTTTGGCTATAGATACCTCTTACCAAGACTAGCTAACTCCTTCCCCATGCTGTACTTAACAAATGTGCTGAGGTTCCAGGTTTTTGCAGTAACTAGTTCGGCTCCATCACAGCACACAGCCCACCTGACCCCAGCTTTTCTGTACATATGTCTCTGTCTGTCCTTTCTTCATTCCCTCAGTACCTTTAGTCAGGTTAAGGGGCCAAGCCACACAGAGTGCAGGACCATGTTTTATTCAGTGTAGAAAGGCAGATACGCATGGGAAAATATGTTCAGTATCATCAGTCTTGAGGAAATATAAGTTTGATCCACAGTCAAAAATCACTGAAGATTTAAAAGAATGATCAAAAAACTGCAAAAAAATCAAATGCTACTGTGTATGCAGAAAAACTGAATCACTCACATAGTGACAGTGGGAATGTAAAACAATACAGCCACAAATTGTAATTTGTCAGTGTTTTAACACTAAAGATATATTGCCACACAATCCAGCAACTATACTATTTCTGCTTCAGAGAAGTGAAATCCCACATTCCCAGACACCTATCCCAATATTCACATTTATCTGTAAGAAGCAAAAGCTAGGAGGGCCCAAACATAAATAGGCAACATGTTACCAACAGTGGCTCATTCATACCATGCAACAATACCCAACAATAAAAGCAAAAGCAGCTACTGACACATCCAACAACTTGGGGCCACTGCAGAAGAATGACACAGAATGAACAAGGATCATCTGAAAAGCTTCCACATGTGATTCATGTAAGATTCAAAATGACAAAACTATAGAAACAGACTAGGTTGGAGGCTGACACGCTAGAAAAGGTGAAAGAACGAACATGTGTTACCTTTGCAGTAATGGAGGCTTTGTGCCTTAAATACTGTGGGAACAACATGAATCTACACATGAGGTTGGTTAGTACAAACCAAACTACTGAAAGTATCTATTCTGGAGAAATGAAACCTCGATTCCCACAAATACATGTACACAAATGTCCATACTTCATTGTAACGGACAAAACCCGGAAATGGCCCAAACACCCTGCAGTAGCCAAGCTGTTAAAGGTGGCACATTCATACAATACACCACTGCTCCATGTTGCATGCACATGTAAATAATGCATATAAAGCCACTTGAAATCTCAGCAGTTTTACATTGGCTTGTGCAAATACACACTTGATGGTTCTAAAGATGGTATCACTGAGAAAAATTGGGGACATACAAAAGACTTCTCTGTTTCTTAGCAACTTCTTATGACTGTTTATTTGTTTTCAAGACAGGGTTTCTTTGTGTAACCACCCTGGCTGCCCTGGAACTCACAGTGTAGACCAGGCTGGCCTTGAACTCAAAGAGTTCCACTGCCTCTGCCTCCCGGGGGCTGGGATTAAAGTGGTGCACTACCACTATCTGCCATGACTTTTTATCTATAATACTTACAAAGTATTATGGAATAGGAAATGGTTCAGCTGCAAGTAGCTTGTTCACAAGCATAAGGATCTGAGTTCAGTGCCCCTGCACCCACATGGAAGTTTGGCACAGGCAGGAATCTCTGTAACTCTAGTGCTGGAGGAACCAGACACAAGCTGGTCTCTGGAGCCCTGAATGACCTGGAGCTCACTATGTAGATCAGGCTGGCCTCGAGCCCACAAAAAGCCACCTGCCTCTGATGGAATCAAAGGCATGCAAAAAAAGACATGATGGAAAAGCAATAAAGGAAGACATCCACCATCGACCTCTGGCTTCCACATGCATGCAAACATGTACATGCACAACCACAGGCAACTGTGTTACCCCACTCTGTTACATTAGAATACCCCACATATCACTGGAAGTTTGTACATACCTGCAAAAGCCATGCAGACGTGGTCATCAAGGGCACATATTTTCCTCACAGTTCTTTCATCTTGAAGCTTGGCCACTGATTTTTTTTCTACCCCAAGCACGACTATATTAGTTCCTCGAATTCCAACCTGCAAAGCCATTTTTACAAAGTAAATTTATAAAAAAAAAAGGTTGAGACTTAGCATGTATGTGGCCAATCTGAAACACAGCACACACAGATATATCCCTCCCCCCTCCTCCCTCTCTCTCCCCCCAAAACTGGGTTTGAAGAAATGGCTCACTAAGTTCAGTTACCTACACCCAGGTAGCTCGAGACTCCAGCTGGGGGGAATCTGACATCCTCTCTGGCCTCTGCAGGCACTTAACATACATGCAGAAACCCCCACATATATACATATACTACAAATAAAAATAAGTAAGTAGCACTTTTAAAACTGTCATCTTGACAGGCATTAAAATCGCATAGGAAATATGTCTACAGACATGCCTGGGAAGGATTATCTAGATTATGTTAAAGGAGACAGGAAGACCCCCAACATAAATGTGGGTGGCACTATTCTTAGGGGCTGGGCTTCTGGCCTGAACAAAAAGAAGACAATAAGCTGAGCACAGACATTCACTGCTCTCTGATTAATTTTTTTTTATTTTTAAATAATGTATTTTTATTTAGTTTATTGTGGGGCATGCTCATGCCACATATACAATAGGAGATCAGAGGACAACTTTCTGGACTGAGTTCCCCTCTACAGTATCATCCCACAGGCTTGTTCTCTGCCTCCCGAATGTGGCTGCCATGTGCTCAGGTGCCCTAAGTTCCTGCCACTGTGACCTGCCCACCAAGACAGACTGTACCCGGGACTGTAAGCCAGAAGAAATCATTCCTTTCCTTAGCTGTTTAAGTCAGGTACTTTGTCCTGAGAACAAGACAAGGAACGAAGGCAAGGTATTTGTGCTTCCATACAAATTCCAACTTTTTTTCCTTTTGTTTATTCTTCTCTCATATGATACATCTGGATTGCAGCTGCCCCTCCCTCTACTCCTCCCAGTTCTCACCCACCAACCCACCTCCCCTCTCCCCCAGATCCACTGCTCCTCCATTTCCCTTCAGAAAAGAGCAGGCCTCCCAGGGATAGCAGCTAATACTGCATAACAAGATTCAATAAGACTAGGCACACATCCTCATATCAAGGCTGGATGAGGCAACCCAGTAGGACAAAAAGGGTCCGAAGAGCAGATAAGAGTCAGAGACACCCCCACTCCCACTGTTGGGAGTCCTACAAAAACACCAAGCTAAACAACCATAACACATATGCACAGAACCTAGCATAGACTCATGCGGGCTCCATGAGTGTCCCTTCAGTCTCTGTTAGCCCCTTTGAGCCCTGCTTGGTTGATTATGTGGGTCGTGTTCTTTGGGTGTCCTCAACCCTTTGGTCCTACAGTCCTTCCTCCCTCTCTGTCTCAGTGTTCCCGGAGCTCCTCCTAATGTCTGGGTATGGGTCTCTGCATATGCTCCCATAAGATTTTTTTTTTCTATTTCTTGAAGAATGTTGGAATTTTGATAACGGCTAATTATTTCCACTATATTAATTCTTCCAATACACAAGCTTAAGAGTTTTCTCTAGTTTTAAGTGACTTGTTTCTTCTGTTTAAAAGATTTCATTGCAGAGGTCTTCTTTCATTGTTTATTCTAAGGGATTTCGTTTATTATTTATTTGAGAAATGATTTCATTACACAACCTTAGCTGGTCTCAAACTCTCTATGCAGATCAGCCTAGACTCAAGATCCACCTCCCTCTGCCTCTTCCTCCTGATACACCCATCCCTGTTACGATAAATCTTTCCGCCAAAAGCCGCCAAGCCCCACTGCCACATGTGCACTTTATGCAAGAGGCCCACCTGAGTTAGGGCCCAAATGAATACACAGAGAGACTTGTATTAGGTTCAATGCTGCTTGGCCAATGACTAGGATTCTCATCTGCTAGCTCAGTCTTAATTATCATAAATCTATATATTTTATAAGACTTATCTTATTGGACGACTTATTGGCGTCCCTCCTTGTCGGTGGCTCACATCCCCCTCTCGAGGAGGAAGGGGAAAAGAGGACACTTCCTGTGTCCTCGCTTAGATATGAGTCTCCTTACTATGTCACTTCCTGCATGGATCACCTCTTCTCTACTACATTTCCCAGAATCCTCTTTGACTCCTAGTCCCGTCTAACTTGCTGTCTCATTGACCAAATAGTATTTTATTTAACAATCAATAAGATAAACATACACAGTACATTCCCCATCACATCCCCTTTTTAGCAGCTGTGCATCAGATTGTTTCCCAAATTTCTTCCCTCAGGTTGTTTGCTATTGGCACACAGGAAGGCTGATTTTTATGCTAATGTTCTATCCTGCCACTTTGCTGAATGTGTTCTTTAGCTTTAAGAATTTCCTGGTGGAAACTTTAGGGTCTCATGTATAAAATCATATCATCTGCAAATAATGATCCGTTGACTTCTTTTCCTATTTGTCTCCGTTTTATTTAGTTCTCTAAGACTTGAAGCACTGGATAAAAGTAGAGCAAGTAGATACATTTGTCTTCTTCCTGATTTGAACTGTTCTCCATTTAATCTGACTCTGGCTCCAGGCTTGCCATTCATAGTCTTTTTCATGTTTAGGTAAGTTCCTTCTATTCCTAGACCCCTCTGGGCTTTTATCACCAAGAGATACTGGATTTTGCCAAAAATCTTCTCGGCATCTACTGAAAAAAAAATCACGTGATTTTTGTCTGAGTCCACTTATATTTTTCTATTTTGCTTACTTTTGTATTTGTTCTTTGAGAATTTTAAATAAGGCATTTTGTTCATATTTCCTCCTCTGCCTCTAATTCCTTTCAGATCCACCCTGCTTCCCTACCCACCTTCTAGATCCACCCTGTCCTCCCTTTAGAACCCATTTAGTTCAATTTGCCCATATACTCTTGGGTGTCTGGCCACTCCTCTGGAGCATGGCTGCCCGACTCTATCAGGGGCCACAGTCTTAAAGAAAACTGACTTTCCTTTTCCTAAAAGATATCAACTGCCAGTCATCACCCAACTAGGGGTGGGACTTTGTGCTCATCTCCCTTTTCCATGATGGGATTTTGTCACTTGTGCTTACATAGGTTTTTTTTTTTTTCAGATTTTTTAAAATTTGAATTAGAAACAAGATTGTTTTACATGACAATCCCAGTTCCCTC